ATGGAAGAGATGGGAAAGTTGTTATTACTGTGGATTAGGAAAAAAAATTATTGGGAGACAGTGTAGTGGAGTCGATCATTTGTGAGAAGGCAAAGCAGTTGCATGAGGATCTTGCAAAGAAAATGCCCGGAACAAGTGCTGCAGTTTGTGAATTTAGGGCCAACGAAGCGGAGGCTGCAAGTTCTGACAAATGTGCGGCTGAAAGTATCTTCATGAATTCCAGGACTATGTAAAGGCTGAAGGATTCGAACCCCAACAAGTTTCCAATTATAACGAAACAGGGTTGTTTTGGAAGGAAATGCCAAACAGGACCCACATTACCCAGGAGGAAAGGCACTGCCAGGACACAAGCCTATGAAAGACAGGCTTACTCTTTTGTTGTGTGGTAATGCTAGTGGGGGTTTCAAAGTTAAGCCTTTACTTGTGTATCACTCAGAAAATCCAGTGTGTTTAAGAAAAACAATGTCAGAAGAATAGATTATTGTTGATTTTGGAAAGCTAATCATAACGCATGGGTCACAAGGCAAATTTTCAAAGAGTGGGTTAATGATGTGTTTGGCTCAAGTGTGAAAAAATACCTCTTGGAAAAAAAATTGCCACTCAAGTGCCTCCTGTTACTGGACAATGCTCCTGCACATCCTCCAAACTTGGAAGACCAAGTGTTTAGGGACTCAGTTTTTTTAAAGTGAAGTTCTTGCCTCCTAACAACCACTCCTCTTTCCCCCAGCCCATGGACCAGCAGGTCATTTCTAACTTCAAAAAAATCTCAACAAAAGCAGTGTTGCAAAAGTGCTTTGAAGTGACCTCAGACACTCAGTTTACCCTAAGAGTTCTGGAGGAATCACTTCACTATCCCCCATTGCATAAGCCTTAAAAGATAAGGCTTGGGAGGGAGTGACTTCCAGGACTTAGAACTCTGCTTGGAGAAAAACTGTGGCCAGATTGTGTCCAAGAGAGGGATTTTGAAGGGGTTTTAGACTCACCGTGACCCTGACTCTGCCGACCCTGTGGACTCTATTTTGTTTTTGGGGAAGTCCCTGGGTTGGGGGTGAGTGGTGAGGATGTGGAAGTTGGTGGAGAACCACAGGGAAAGCTTACCACTGAAGAGT